CTCAATTGTTTGCAGAACTATTCGCCCTTGACAAATCAGAAATCACACATACATTTTGCATAGATATTTACTTAACCTAGCAGAGGATACCGAATGGCCCCCCGTGTTTACGTCCGACAATCCTTTCAGTTACGATCAGGAGTATCATTAGCGCTGATATAAACATGCATGTTTATGGCATTCAAAGCTATAGTGCAAGCAATCATCGACGTTATCGACCGATTAATATTCATTCATTGTTAGCGCGCCAGAAAGTGATTGGCACGTTTAATGTCCTAGACAAAACCTTCCATATCCAAGATTGGAACATAGTCGTTGTGTCATTTACTCAATCCGATAACAGGCCTATCTGTTAATTTGTGGGGGAAAAAAACAATAAAATACAGACCACGCGTTTGTTTATGCTCTCGCAATTGCATAGGGAGTTGGGGAGCCATTGCTACCAATACCCGACACGACCGTCTGCTGTCCTGTCCCACACATGTGGCATCACACAAGCATTTCATTCCTTAATGGATTCCTTTCATGTTTTATACAAGGGAGGCATAAGAATACCTGAATAGCATCGTATTACCGGGTACCATGGTAACCCTGTGGAATAATAGACTAGTTTAACTGTCGACTTTCACGTTATCGATAAATACGCTTTCCTGGCACGCTTGGCAATGTAAGAAGGTCTTTGATTTGTTTTGTATGTTCGTTTGTGCTCTAAATCTATGCCCTTTCAACAACTATGGTCATTAAAGGATGAATCAGGTTTTGGTCTGTGAACTTGAGTCGCTATCAAGATGTTGTACTGCTATTGCTTCGGATATATGTACGAGACCAATGCCTTGTACTGTTCAGATAATGTTAATTGTAAACCTTATAATTTCAAAAATAAATCCAAAATAGAAAAATGGACTTAATAAATTTGAATTCAAGAAATGTTAATTACGCTATTATTTGCAAATACAATGGTTTGTTTTGGCCAATCTCCTAATGGATAATGTATACGTGTGTCTGTATTAGGGCAGCAGATCAGTACATATAGTCTTAAAGTACTTAGTGTTAGTTAGCATATTAATGAAGTAGAGATAACGTGTGATCGGTCCTATATATTAAACAAACTTTGTAAATAGAACTCGAATGAAAGTGAGATAAATGAAAGGGAAGTTTACTTATAACCTATGCTCGGTTCCCATTGATCTACCGTGAACAGTTTCGGGTTTTTCAGTTGTAAGATTTATAAAATGTGGACATACAATGCACCCCGGTATTTGGAAGAAATAAAGATAAAAAAATCTACATACGTTTTAAGATAACGAGCCAGTGTTACGTCATATCAATAATTGATGATTTCAATGCTCCATGTGATAATAAAACCACCTGTCAGACGGAAAGAGCGGTGGTTGAAATTACTGCTATTACGGGACTGAAACAATACATACATACGCAGTAATTATAGTCGTTTTCTAAACTGGTTTACCAGCCCTAGTACCATTTTTCTCCGTTAGGCGTCTCTGTTCCATATCCAGACAGTCCGTGCCACCATATTTTGTCAAGAAGCGATGCTCGATCAATTCAATAAACGAATCGTTGTTGTGGTTTGAACTTCTGAATTCCTAGTGCTTACACAGGAAACATGTATCGGATGTTGCATTAGTGTTGATTAAGAAGCAATCAGCAAGATAAACGTATTGAAACCAGTGTTAAAAACGTTCAGTTTCGAAATTGATAGTTTCCAAGTTACCGTGGCAACTAGCAGGTCCCTGTTCTCATCAATGATCGAACGCCCGTTTGAAACTCGCATTCATGATTTGAACACTATACACACACTCCATTTACATGCATGTTTATTTGTTTTCAATGACCACAGCAGCAATGTTGTGTAGAAGCGACGGATTCTAAGTGGACTAGATAAGTGTGATAATAAGAAAGCGATTTTTTCTCTCTCGAAGATACCAGACGCCATTTCAGACAAACTTATCCCCATTGGAAATATAAACAAATTCACAGAGTAAACATCATCTAACAAAATACAGATTAAATCTATTTAAGATATCTCAATGTAGAAATGCCCTTTTAACGGGTTTTAGGTAATAAGAAATAGACTCCATCCCTGATGTGAGGTATGGATAAGGTAATTCCAACCCACGGGATAAAATATTTAGCAGAAGACCCTTCTGTTCAATATTTTATCCTTCGGATTTTTGAGTTACCTTATCCATGCCTAACATCGGGGATATATTCTACTAATCTTTGGCGACACATGCTGATGACGATTCGCCTGACAACAACGCCGTTTCTGATACGATATATTACGATGCTGTCAATTATGTACAGCAGTAACATTAAGGGTTGTTGAGGGTTGACATACATGTGAACACCCTCCCGAGCTCGTGGTGTGTCGGGAAACTGGTGTCTGAAAACCTGGTTTTGCTTTACGTGTGCTAGGTTTATACACTTTTATTATAGATGTGTAAACAACAACCTGTTACAAAACATATAGCTCTACTTTATGCTTAAAATGACCTGTATTTCTAAATCGTTTATCAAAAGTGCACACACCACACGTTTTCTCAATGGTTGTAAAACTATTTAATGATACATCTATATGTGACACGAAAAGGGGCATCATAATTCTATATTTATCATAAATATTGTGTATTTCATTGTTATGAGCTATAACCAAAAATATATGTGTTCCTGTGTCCATACTTGGAAAGTTGGAAAAACAATGTATGTTGCATTCAACGAGAATAGATATTTTCAGATAGGTTACTGAAAATAATTATTTATTCCAACTTTTCCTTCATTTATTTTATTTTGAGGAGGTTAATACTTTACACTGGCCGTCAATGATACCATATCTGATCCAACTTATTGATGTTTCTGGCCGTCAATGATACCATATCTGATCCAACTTATTTATGTTCCTGGCTGTTAATGATACCATATTTGATCCAACTTATTGATGTTTCTGGACGTCAATGATACCATATCTGATCCAACTTATTTATGTTTCTGGCCGTCAATGATACGATATCTGATCCAACTTATTGGTGTTTCTGGACGTCAATGATACCATATCTGATCCAACTTATTGGTGTTTCTGGACGTCAATGATGCCATATCTGATCCAACTTATTTATGTTTATGGCCGTCAATGATAACATATCTGATCAAACTTATTGATGTTTATGGCCGTCAATGATAACATATTTGATCCAACTTATTTATGTTCCTGGCTGTCAATGATACCATATTTGATCCAACTTATTTATGTTTCTGGCTGTCAATGATACCGTATCTGATCCAACTTATTGATGTCTCTGGCCATCATTGATACCGTATCTGATCCAACTTATTGATGTCTCTGGCCGTCAATGATACCATATTTGATCCAACTTATTTATGTTCCTGGCTGTCAATGATACCATATTTGATCCTACTTATTGATGTCTCTGGCCATCAATGATACCGTATCTGATCCAACTTATTGATGTTCCTGGCTGTCAATGATGCCATATCTGATCCAACTTAATGATGTTCCTGGCTGTCAATGATACCATATTTGATCCAACTTATTTATGTTCCTGGCTGTCAATGATACCATATTTGATCCAACTTATTGATGTCTCTGGCCGTCAATGATACCGTATCTGATCCAACTTATTGATGTGCCTTGCCGTCAATGATACCATATCTGATCCAACTTATTTATGTTCCTGGCTGTCAATGATGCCATATTTGATCCAACTTATTGATGTCTCTGGCCGTCAATTATACCGTATCTGATCCAACTTATTGATGTTTCTGGACGTCAATGATGCCATATTTGATCCAACTTATTGATCTCTCTGGCCGTCAATTATCCCGTATCTGATCCAATTTATTGATGCTTCTGGACGTCAATGATGCCATATCTGTTCCAACTTATTGATGTTTCTGGCCGTCAATCATACCATATCTGATCCAACTTATTTATGTTTCTGGCCGTCAATGATACCATATTTGATCCAACTTATTTATGTTCCTGGCTGTCAATGATGCCATATCTGATCCAACTGATTGATGTTTCTGGCCGTCAATGATGCCATATCTAATCCAACTTATTGATGTTTCTGGACGTCAATGATGCCATATCTGATCCAACTTATTGATGTCTCTGGCCGTCAATTATACCGTATCTGATCCAATTTATTGATGTTTCTGGACGTCAATGATGCCATATCTGATCCAACTTATTGATGTTTCTGGCCGTCAATGATACCATATCTGATCCAACTTATTGATGTGTCTGGTCGTCAATGATACCATATTTGATCCAACTTATTGATGTTCCTGGCCGTCAATGATACCATATCTGATCCAACTTATTGATGTTTCCGGACGCTGTATCAAATGTTTTATATTATAATTATTCTTACATAAAAAAACTAATGATTTTCCCATTTTAATATTTCAATATGCTGATGATAACTCATAGATTTTTTAGGTGACTTTACAGAGGCACATCGCAGAAATTTATGATTTATAATAAATATATCATATAGCTTAATGAAGATTTTCTCAATTAACGATTTGGTCTTTAATTGAATCTTAAACCAAAGCAAAATAAATCAGAGGTTATAATCAAATGACTGGTTTTAACAAGAGAACAGTTAAACAGATGGATTATGCTCTCAAATGGTATACCTGTCTCATAGACTATGGCATATGGTGTACAGTTCCGTGTAATAGTCCATGCAATGAAATGGATGTGACGTCAAGAGTAGCCCCTTATCTTATTTAAAATAGTATTGTATTGAATAATTCATCATAGTCATGCATGTATTTCATTCAATGTCAAAGAAATTGGAAAGCAAGCTTAGAGCTGTTTACGTAGTTTTCTAAGTACGAATTCCTTCAAATGCAATTTACTGCTCTGCAAAAGAACCAGCAGTGGACCAAATCTGTGAATGTAAGAATTGGATAGTTATACGTTATTTACTATTACAGTCTTGTTGTAATTTCAGGCTTGAAGAACTTCCTCCAATGGTCAGCACCATTAAGTGTGCCACTAAGCAAATCGGGTATGATACCACCTGTGTCTGTCAGTCATCTCTCTCTCTCTCTCTCAATCACCTTCAGTCTGTCTGACACTCTGGTAGCGTGTAAGATAAAACTACTCTAAATCACACTGTTTTATTGTCGCATTTGTTCTGTCAAATAATCCATTTCTCTGTCTTTCAGTAGTCGTCGGACTGTTGGCACTCTATCTGCATGTTTCTCACTGTAGCTGCGTGTTTAAATATAACTCTTCTCCAAATCACTCGATGTTTACGAGTATTAATTTTTTTTGCGATTGTTCTTCTAACCCTATATTTTCAATGTTTTGGTTTTGCGAAACTGTAGCTTTTTTGTTTAAATATTTCTGAATTTGTTTTACAAACTTTTTTTGAATATCTGCGACTTTGTTTCCTTTACAAATTAACGCAAATATGAATAGCTCGCAAATTATAGACTTCAAACGGCACCGAACAGTAGAAACCCCGTCTGTGTTGTGTGGGGTAGATACTGAATGTGTAAAAGTTCTACTGTTTAATCTCAATGTGGTTAGGTTTGATATTCAGACAATGATTTAGTTCAATTAATGTAGCCATCTCAAAATCGAGCTACCACTACTCCGTGTGAGCTCAATCTTAGACAAATCTAGACTGATGTGAATTTCAATTAATCCGGTTGTCCCACTGTGTATCTAGCCACCTCTAATCCGGTTGTCCCACTATTTAGCCACCTCTAATCTGGTTGTCCCACTATCTAGCAACCTCTAATCCGGTTGTCCCACTATCTAGCAACCTCTAATCCGGTTGTCCCACTATTTAGCCACCTCTTATCCGGTTGTCCCACTATTTAGCCACCTCTAATCCGGTTGTCCCACTATTTAGCCACCTCTAATC